TATCACCCGAAGATGAGCTCTGAAGATGAGGTGCAATTAGGGAACAGAATTCCTCCTGTATCCTCTAAGTGTTTTGTCCTGGGTGAGTGCATATTTTCAATGACGGATTATGTATGAAACTGGGTGACTTTTTTGTATCAGGCAAGAAACAGCAAGAAGCAAGTTCAGGGCACGAAGCGGGGGTCAGAGAAGGCTTGGGTAAATCACAAAAGTGTGCTTTGGAGTTAAGTGGAGGCATTCAGCCGTTCAATGGCCATGAGAAGTAAAGACTGAGCTGGGCATTTGTGTTTAACATGGAAAGCAACAGAGAAGCTTCCTCTGAGGCTCCTTAATAACCATAAAGAGGACAATAACAGGAGGAGTCATAACCACTAACATTTTCCAGTGCTTAATGTGCCAGCCATTGGTCTGAGCCAGTGGTTCTCAAAGTGTGGTTCCTGGGCCAGCAGCTTCAGCATCGTGTGGGGATGTGTTAGGCACAATCTCAGGCCCCCTCATTGGACTAACTGAGTCAGAAATGCTGGGGATTGGGACCAGAAATGTGGGATGTAATGATGATCAAGTCTGGGAGCATGCTACATGTTTTTCCTGTGCTAACTCATGTGTTCTTCTTGACCACCATAAGAATGCTTCCTTTATTTTATCTGACAGATGCTAAAACTAGGGGTCAGAGGAGGGAGTTCTTCGTCTAAGATAGTGTTGAAAGGTCAATCAAAGATTAACCTGAGTCACCTGGCCACTGGAGAGAAGTCTTAGATTCTGCTATAAATGTTAAAATGCCCTGAGGGCATCTCTTGAAAAAAGGACCCACAAGGTTTTTCAGAGGTTTTTTTTTTTGTGGGGTGAGGCGGTGGAGGGGGGAAATCTAACAATCAGATGTGGGCTGTTTTTCAGCTTCCTTGTAAGATAACTTGTTTTGTTTTGTTTTATATTCACCAAACTCACATTTATCACTATTACTGAAATGGTGCTAAGTGAAGAATTAGCATAAATGCTAAGTTGCTGGTATTTGAAGTCTTCTGGGGATTTCTCTGTGATCTCATCCCAGCTGCCCACACTGGCACTGGTTTACTAGAAACTCTCTGGGACTGGGAGTGAGTTGTGTTTGTGAAGCTTTTTAGTGTTTGTCTAGGAAGCCACCCAGATCCACAGGAAGCATAGTCACCATCAGAGATGGTGGTTGCCTTTCAAAATCATAGAGGGAGAAAATGGAGATGCCCATCACTGAGTTCATACCCATAACAGGCACTTTTGAAGACAATGACATCACTGGAAATACACTGTCAGGGGGGAATTGGCAACCTGGGTCCTCCGTAGGCAGAGCAGCACTGTTTTAGAACCCTCCAGGGTAGGAAAGAGTGTCTCATCTGGGAATGGGTGCCCCTGGGAACCACATGTTCCACTGACACTGAATGTGGGAAGTGGAGAGGAAGGACCCAGAAAAGTGCTATTGGAGAGGCAGAAATTGAGAAGCTGAGAGCAGGACTGGGCAGCAGAAATAACCCAGACAATGGAAACCTTGTTACATGACTTGAGATTGCTGAACTCAATCTGAACCGAAAGTGGGTCCCACCTATTTGTCCTATGGGCTAGGACACCTCTCCAGGGGGACAGGTGTGGTTCTGAAAGCACTGGCTCTTCTGCCAGGTAGGGCTGGATGCCAGTCCTTGCTGGAACATTTCTTAGCTGACCTCGGGGTCCTTATTTAACCTCTCTGCACCTCAGTTTCATAGCAGTAATCTAGTTGTGATCGTGGTGCCTACTTCATAAGGTTGATGTGGTTAGTGATAGCTAGTTGTATCTTAGGATGTTTTTTTGTGAAGTAAGCCGGAGGGATACGCTGGGGATAAGATGGGGGCAAGATGGGTTCAGACTCACCAGGGCCCAGATCTGATCTCACTTTTACTATTTGCTTCTCTGAGCTTCAATTGCTTCATTTGTGTAAAGGGGATCGATTTGTGGCAAAGGTGAAATGAGATCATCTAGGAGAAGTGCCCCACGGAGTAAAAACCAAGGTGACATCCCCTCATGAGCCTCAGGCTGGGGATATAGCTTAGTGGTACAGCACCTGCCTGGCAAGCCCGAGGTCCTGAGTTTGATTCCTGGTACCAAAAACAAAAAACAAAGAAGCAGAAAATTCATCATTAGCTAGCCTCCTCATCAGGGCTAGAGATTTAGAAGCTGCCTAAGCATTTACAGAGTTCCAGCCCTGCATGAAAAGTTCTTCCTACAGAGGTGGGGCTGGTGTGATTCTCCTCTCTCCTTCACTTTCTGTTTTTCTGGGTCCTTTGACCAAGCTGGGAAGGTTGCATACACAGTTTTACCTTAAACCACAAATGCCCACCCCAGCCCCTGTCCTCTGTCCCCTCCAACCCACCCCCTGTGTTACCCAGGACAAGCTGGGTCTTTCGTCAGCTTTTCTAAAAGCTGAGTAGTTTTGGAAGCCTTTTCCCAAACATCCTCACTTGCATTTTTCCTAACTGAGCCTCGTTTTTCCATTTGTTCCCCATTTTTCTGTCACTTAGAAAGTGTCAGCTGTCTCTTTCACTTCCAGACCCCTGGGGTACATCATTACAGCACTATTTAGGCCATATCTAAGTTTACTCGCTGGTGGGGGTGGACACAGTAAGTAACAGTGGGCCCTGCTCCAGGTTCCAAGCTGTTTCCTAGGTGGCTACTATTTCATGAACTGTTTCTTGGCTTGAAGCCTTGGTGCTGGGGAGAGGAGGAGTTCGTAGCTCCAAGGCGAGGGGCAGGACAGGAGAAAAGTGGAGTCCGAGCCAGCTGTTACCACTTGACTCTCCTGTCTCTGCTCGTCAGCACACATTGACCAGGCTTAGAACCTTCGGGAGTCAGGCACTTGTCAGCGGATGGGGATGCTGGGAGGTGACGGCCCAAAAGAACAGATGCTTAGAAAGACAGCTGCCTGAGTTGAAGCTACTCTACTCTCTTTCTTCCCTCTCTTTTCATCTCTCAAGAGGCCCTGTAGATGTTTAAGTTAGCATCTTCTTAGGTCTAATAACCAGCAGTCATAGTGGGCCTCAGAGTTTATGAAGCTCATCACTAACTGAAAATGTGTTGGCTGGGGTGAAGAAGTCTGTCTCTCCTTTCACAGGCTTATGTTATTCCCCATAGGGGACGGGATCCCCACACGATAGTGAGCTCTGGACTGCACTGCATAGATCCAGTCTCCCCCATGTGCTCTGATTACAAGCATGTGCCACCAGACCCAGCTTGGCTGAGATATCTTACCAGTACATTTGATAAAGGCCTATTCATTGCTGGCTTTCTTTACCTCCCACACTCCTTTTGTGAAGAGGCTGGGCTGAGATAGCAATGATTACCATGACTACTACCACCATTAATTACTGAGGACACAGGATATGGTGCGTGTATTGATAATGATTAGTTTTTGCAAAAGCTTTATGACATTGCTGAAGAATTTTATAACATGTCATTTTAGGGATGAGAAACTCATATGGATAGAAATCATATGGAGAGAAAGCAGCCAAGCATAGGGGTGCCATGGAACAGGAGGAATAGGCTCTGATGTTCTGTAGCACCATTGATTAAAGATCACAACAGTTAATTTTATATTACACAATAGCTACAGAGAATTCTGAATGTTTCTAGCACCAAGAAATAATAAGCATCTGAGATGACAGATACACCAGTATCTGTCAGTATCATGACCTGATCATAACACATTGTATGTACACATTGAAGTGTCACACAGTGCTCTGTACATATAGATGATGATTACCTGGCAATTAAAAATGTTTATTTCATCGGGCGTGATGGCTCATGCCTGTAATCCCAGCACTCGGGAGGCTGAGGCAGGAAGGTCGTTGCGAGACCAGCCTGGGCTACAAAGTGAGCTCAAGGCCAGACTGAACTGCATAGCGAGACCCTGTCTCAAAAAGACAAAAAAAAAAGTTTGTTTCAAAATCAATGAAAAAGGCAATAAGATGAAAATATATACTAAATGGGACCGGGGGGGGGGGAGATAAAGAAAAACAAAGTAGCCAAGCAGGTACTTGAGTATGTCTGGTACTCAAGTTCTTTCTGGTCTGCTCTGCATGCTTTTATCATCACCTGAATAGGGCTTTAAGGTTTTGGAAAGGCTGCTGCTAGGGTGTCTTGTAATACGACCATTGCCCTCTGCCCCCCTACAAGCACAAGCCTGGGGTAATGAGCCATGGTGGTGAGGTATCAACCCACCACTGAACTTTGAGAATCTGTCACTCACAGAGGGGCTGCTTCATGGCTTGGATGCAGGGGCAGCTCTTTGAGGAGAAGAAAGAGTCTGGAGATGGAGACTTCCTGAGAGGGAGCAGAGCAGGGTGGAAGTTTCTGAAACCAGGAAGACCAACTCTGCTTCCTGTGGGCACATCTCTTCACTAGTGCAGTCATACCCACCTGATGGGACTACACGAGATGGGACAAAGGACACAAAGTCATTGATGGGCAGGACAGTCACTTGCTGTCAGCTGCAGTTCTCAGAGGACTCAACATTGCTCTCGCCACAGCTTTCACACGCGCACACACACACACACACACACACACACACACACGCATGCTCACTGAAGGATGTGCACACTGCTGCTTAGGACTTTGTACACAGTCTTTCATGCTAGTGTGAGAAACCCTAAATTTATCTTTAAAAAGTCAATTTATGCATAATTTCCTGCTGCTTCAAGGCTCCCTTTTGGAGTGGAAAACATCCAGGGTATAAGGACTTGGGGTGTCATCAATGGTGACTTCAACCATGCAATGTCCATGCAAGGTCCCTAGATGGCACTGCATTTGCTCATGGTTCCTTTGCTCTTGGGCTGTGGCAAGGTGGCAAGGTCTTCTCTTAAGGCCTTGACCTTCCAAGGGCAAAAAAAGCTTTTTGGACTTGAAGCACCACTACCCGCCAAGTACCTCGAATTCTGCCCTTGTTCATGGTGAGTGGAGCAGGGTTGTCACACTCTGTGTTCTTTGTTTTCTCTTGACAGAACCAGCTTCTTGCAAAAGGACTGTTCTTTGTGGAGGAGAAGATCAAGCTGTGTGAAGGCAAGTACGACATGGGTCTCTGTGAGTCAGCCTTTGATGTTTGGACAGCTGAGATGCTTCTGTCCAAAAGTGGCGGACTCCAGGCGAATGAGTCACCCTGTCTGTTTCTTCCTCAGCTAGGCAGCAGCACTTCGGCTGGAGTCCGCTGCTCTGGGCACCTGGTTAAAAGATTTTCACATCTTGCTGGTTACTTTGAAGGGATCTGCCATGCTCTGGATTCTGTCATGCAGTTCCCACTGATCTGCCTCAGACACTTTCTTGTTGACCTTTGTCATGTCGTGTGTTGGGATTGTAGTAGGCAGGAGTCTTTTCCACTTGGGAGGTGTTAGCACCCACTCAGTGTGAATGATCTGCTAGATAAATGACCTTGTCCTGGTCTATGCTAAGATTTTGGAAGCAAATTGACAGAATAGAAAGAAATTGATGGTTTGGGAGCAGGTATGAAAAGTCAGTTAGCCAACTGTTGTTGACAGGTAGTCAACCCTAAGACTACTAAGGGTTATGCTCAGTTCTCACCAATGTGGGGCCAAGTATTAGCTCAGTACTTTCTTCTTGGGTGACTTTTGGAAATTGTCAGTTTCTGTGGGTCTCAGTCTGTCATTTTTAAGGTACTAAAGTAGGGTGAAGGTTGGCATGACATTGTCCTTGGCATGCAAGAGGGTAGCATGTTGTGGCCTCCCTTTCCTTTGCTTAATCTGATCACCTCTACCTGGAGATCAGACTTACTTCTGCAACCATACTTAATAATTATACTATTGTTTCTTTTTTTCCTTCCCATTTCTGGGAAAGAAACTAGTGTCCAAAAAAAAAGTGACTCCTGGAAGGACAAAGTCGGAAAATGAAAAATTATGCTGGAGAGTTCCAGCACCCCAGTCTCCAAAATCTTCGGAAGGAGAGAGGCTGGAATTAATCTCTGCTGATCTAAAATTGCCTGAACCTGTATCTTTTTCTCCTTAAATGCAGGTATCCTATGATTTTTTCCCCCAACCATATAAAACCCACTAAACAAAGGCTTTTGAAATCTTTTTAAAATCGAGGTAACAGACGCAATATGAGGATTGACTATATTTGCAGTGATGTATAACAGATCCCCAGAACTTGTTTATTTTGTGAGACTAAAATTCCATCAAATGCCCAGCTCCACAGCCCCTGAAAACCACTGTCAATATTTTGTTTCCACAATTCTTTTGTTTCCACAATTTTTCCAGAAATCTCATAAATATATCTCATAAATGTGGATCATGTAGTATCTTTTGTGACTGGCTGATTGTCTTCATCATTATGTCCTCAAAGTTTATTCATGTTGTAACACATGACGAGATTCCCTTCTAATTTTTTAAGGCTGAATAGTATTCTAGGATACAGTGTGCAAAATTTTTCTTTATCCATCTGTTAATGGAAAGACCTTATTTTAAAGTGTCTGGTTTTGCCAGGAACCTAGTGGTTCTTTTGCATCTTGGAATCAGGCTGATACACAGCTGTGGATGACAGCTATCCAGTCAAAGGGGCAGAGCAGAAAAAAAGCATTGTCCCTGGCCACATGACTTGTATGTCATTCAAGCCACTGGAGATGTGGAAAACAGCTCTAGAAAAAAGGCACAGAGTCAACTGAAGTAAGAGTACTGACTAAGCTTTCCATTTATAGGGGAAGGTTGAATGTCTCGTTCAACATGGATGCTCTTAGAATAAAAACTCAAGAAATGAAACTAGGTGTGATGAGCAGTAACCATCCAAGATTCCGTGCTTGTCCCCAGAGCCAGAGTACTTTCCTACCGTCTCTTCTGGCCCAAGGACTCTGGATGTTGGGGGGCTTTCTGCACAGTAAATGAGTGTGGGGGGAGCTGCTTTAAGGGACTTTCCTTCTTCATTAGGATTGTCTCTGCTTTTTGATTTCATGTTAGAATGCTAAGAAGGGTTTTGTTTGGATAAAAGGATTTGCATGCTGGGAAATAAAGCTTGAAAACAACCAACGTGATCTATCTAGTTACCAAACAGACTTCACTCTGTTGCATATCTGAGCATACTCGTTACACACATGTGTCCTTGCTTCACAGCTGCGGAAAGGGCGGGCAATGAAGTTCATGTCTGTTTGTCACATCTAGTGGTCAGAAAACATCACGCTACATTCAGAGATCTTTTGTAGCGCCTTGGTGACCTTGAGTTCAGAGAGTTTCTGCTACCTGTGTATGTACTTCTAGAATTTAAACTCCCATGGAGCCTTGAAGGACAGGTTTGATAAGACAGGCATCTAGACTTTCTATACAGACCGCTTTCATATTTTCAGGGAGCTACGTCTTTGACTCATGGGCTGTTTTAGGAAGCAAAGTCACCTATGTCCTTTAATTCTTTCTGCCCCATGTCGACCCACTTTGTTGGTCTGCGTTGACTCAGTGTTCTTTTTGAAATACTTTCCAAACCTCCATGACTGTCTGAAGTTTGTAGCGTAGGGACTGATCCAGCTTCCGGGGCAGTACTTCCTGTTTCTGGGTCTGAGAATTCCCTTGTGTTCCCAGGGACCTCTGTCCTGGTTTTGCAGTAGGCACCTCCCCGACTGTCACCTTCTCTCTGCTGCCCTTCCCTAGGACTCTCTGCTTGTCTTTATTGTGGAAGGCTTAAGGTTTAAGATGAGGACCACTCACAAAACTGCTAATGCAAACTCTTCTCATTTGGGATACATTATCTATGTGTTGGGGTTTACCTTGATTCAGGACCTGGAGTGGTTTAACATGACCCCTTTGACTTGCCTGCTTCCTCTCTGCACTGAATGTGCTTTGCCTACATTTGAAATCAGATTGCCTTTGATTCAATCAATGATTTATCAGTTACTTAGGAGATACCTGTTGCTCTGCTGGGTGCTGGAGACACTGTGGGAGCAACATTATCATAAGATATAGGCCCTGCTGGAGCTCCTAAACTAGTAGTGGAGACAGATTTTAATCATATTGCCACCATATGTAACTATAACCAATTAGGAACACAATCCATAGTAGAGGACCTGACCAATGGGAGAAGGTTTTCATGTAGAGGGGGAAGTCTGAGCTGTAATGAAAATAATAAATAGATGTAGGTCACAGAAAGAGGGATGGGTGAGTAGTCTGGGAGAGAAACTAGCTTGTGCAAAGGCCTTGTGATATGGGGAATTGTGGAGGGAGGGGCTGAGATGAAATCTACCTAGAGCCCAAAAGCCAAATAGAGCAAAGAAGGAAGACACAAGGAGACAGATTCTCTTGGCTGTGTAGGCCATGGTATGGAAGTTTCTTTATCCAAAGGAAAAAGCAAAAGGTCCTGCTGACTATTAGGACCTGCTTTATACTTCCTTGTGTTCAAATTAAATAGCACTTTCTTCCCATCACAGGTCATCACATCTGCAAAATCCACACACTTGTACTTGGCATTTGCCAGTCATTCATTTGAAGGCTTTGCAGTTGATCTATTGATTTGTCTTGCAATGTGCCCAGCACCAGAAATACAGGAGTGAGCAGAACACACAGGCCTGAGTGTCATGGCCACGTTCCTGGAAGGGACAGGGGAGTGGACACACAATTCCGAGTGTGGTTGATGCTCTGCCAGGGAAAGTAGGGAGGCTGTGGGTTTGCATTTCTCCAGTGTATCACCCCTGACCTGTGAGCCAGTAGTCATGCTCTCGTTCTGTTCTCTCCCTAGCCACTGCCATTACTGTCCATTAAATTAATAGACGAAGGATGTTAAATGAATCTTTCAAGGTTCATTCAGTGAAACTCTCAGTGTTTCGCCAAGTGCCTCTGTCTCTGTGTCTCGTCTTGGCTGACCCACTTTCTCTGCCTGGGATGAGCAAAGACAATGCCCAGTCAGCTCTGATATCTAGGTCATTAAGCAGTTGCCGCTGAGAGCCAAGTTCCTCTCACGGCCCTTTTAGTGGTGGTGGGTGACCTGTGTACTCTCACCCGAGGTTGGAACTTAGTCATAGCCAGGGCCTCCTGGTCCTAGGGCCAAGTAGGCACGGAATCAGGAGGTGGGTCCAGGGTCTGCAGGTGAGCTCTTCAGAGAATGCTGCCCTCTCAGTTACTGTACAGCAGTGAGTAGAGGTGATCGTTACTATCTTCTTTCTGTCAACTGATGCTCAAACCTAAAATAAGGTCAGTGTACCAGTGACTACAAAAAACCCCTGCAACTGCATGTAACCTTCCCGGGGTGTGGTGAAAGGTGATGGAACCTTAAGAGCCAGGGCCTAGTTTAAAATGGTCAGTTCTAGAGGGCCACTGCTCTTGGAAGGGATGAATGCTGGTGCTGCAGAGTTAGTTCTTAGAGACGGGGTTATGATTCAAGCCTGACTCCTGAATCCCTCTGCACTTCTGGCCTTGCCAGATGCCACTTCCGGTCTTTCTCACACACTTCCACCACTGTGGTGCCATCTGCTGTATCACTTCTAGTGAGAGTGGATATATTTCTGTCCTGACAAGTTCTGGTGACCTTCGCTAGGGACAAAGACCCTGTGATACCAGGGACAAAGCTCCTGGCCACAAGTTTGAGACCCTTTGAGACTCCACATTTGAGGTGGAGCTGTCTTCTGGCCTCTCCTATGAGTAATGACGAGTTCTTTTCTTTCTTCCTCCCCTCCCATCTTCTCGCCCTCGTGTAGGTGAAAATCGCATTGAGGTTCTGGCTGAAGTCTGGGACCACTTCTTCACTGAGACTCTCCCCACCCTGCAGGCCATATTTTATCCAGTTCAGGTCAGTCTTGCTGGGGAACGACTTGCTGTTGGCCTCAGCCATCTGCCTCCTGTCTTGACCTCTGCGAGCTGGGGCCTCCTGGTGGATGGGGGAGAGCCTGGAGTGGGTATTTGAGTCGGCAAAGGACCACGGAGGTCTTCTGAGGCCTCTGTGGGTCTACATTTAGTGTTTAACTTCAAGCAAAGAAGACAGCCTGCTTAACTAGCAATTTGTAGGTTCTTGTTACCTGCTTGGTTTTGAGTATGCTGTTAGATCTTGGTGTGGTTTTTTTTTTTTTCTTCTTCTTACTTTTCTGAAGTAGCAAAGATGCGGAAGGAGACTTTTCCTTTTCTTCTTTTTCTTGTTCACCCCACCTCTTTTCTTCTCTCTCATTTTTTTTTAATAGCACAACTTTTAAGCAAGTTTGCTGTTGTCCTCAAATTGTGGGAAAGGGATGACTCCCCACTCCTTGTGACATAAGGAATCCTAAAGAACAAGAGCCTCACAATGTAAAGCACTGTACGAGGAATCCATAGACTTGATTCAAGAGTGTGGGTTTAGACAAGACATTTAACTTCCATTTGTACAGCTCTGCTCATCTCCTGCAAAATGAGGAATTGGAGTAACAGAGGAGTGACCTGGCTTTAGTTCTTATTCTATGACCTTGAGTCACTCTATTGCTTATATTAATTTCCTTCCCCCTGCTACAGAGGCTAATACCACAGATGATTGCTGCCAGGTCAGCCCGGTTGCCGGAGGTCCCTCTTTGAAATACACATCTCTCTCATGTTCCTCCTGGGGTCAAGGCTTCGGATTTAATCGGACTTTGCTGAAGTGTGGGTACAACGTGCAGAATCGGAACAGAGCTGTTAGCAATGGTTGGAATTTCCTCCTCCCACAGGGAAGGGCCCAGGGGACTTTTCGATTTAAATGGTGTTTTAAAGGAATTTGAAATTGCTTAAAATATATATCCAATATTTAAAACCTGGGAGGCTGTGCTTACAGATTTCATTTCCTGGTTTAAGTCTGGCTCTGCCATTTCCAGTAAGGCAAAACAGACGGAAGCCCCTGGCCTGCAGCCTGCTCCTTTCTTTCACCACATTCTTAGTCCCAGCCTGCATTTATGTGGCCAGGGCAGCTTCTGCTCCCCTTTATGCAATAGGCGCCTATGGGTCTTTTCTTAAGAAGACCGATATAGGGGCGTGTCAGAGTTGCCTGATTTAGCAAATAAAAGCGTAGATGGCAAGTGCTATCTGAATTCACATAAGTCATAAATATTGCAATGCATGGGAGATTTTTATACTGAAAAACAAGATTCAAATGTAACGGGGCATCCTGTTTTATCTGGCAACACTCTAGGAGGGGGTGGGTAGATCTGAGCCGTTTAGGGCCATTTGGGCAGGGAATTCCAAGGTGCTCAGGATGTTTCCAGAATGGAAATCTGGGTGGAAATGGCCCCAGTACAGTCAGGGAAGGGCAAGGAGGTGTCTTCTGAAGGATCTTGAGATGGCATTGTCTTGATTCTCCTGAAATTTTAAAAAATCTGACAATAAATGATATTTCCTCATTCACTTGAAACTTTATAAAATCTGACAATAGTTGATATTACCCTATTTACCTTTGTCAACCCCCAACTACTGATGTGGATTTCTACTGCACTCTCATTTGCCATAACTGCTATTTGTCATCCCGAGGGCCTTTGCATGTGCAATCCTACATTTTCAGTCCACTGAAACTAGGCAAGAGTGATGTAAATTCAGTTTGTGTGTAGCCCAAAGTTAGAAGAGGTGGGAGCAATCTCTGGCAAACAGATGCGCAGAAGTGGCAAATTGTGCTCTCTCTCACCTTTTGGTCCTTAGCTGACCCAGATTCACATACTTAGAGACTTAGGAGACAAAATTCTCTCAACTTTAACTCTTTCCTAGGGTTTTAGCCAGAGTCACTGGATGGCATCTTGGATTGTATGAGCACTCTCTCTCTTTTTCTCTGTCTCTGTCTCTCTCTATCTCTCTGTCTCTCTCTCTGTTTCTTTGACTGAGGTTACAAAAGGCTAGGTATGTCTTGGTTATTTTTTTCTCCCAACATAAAATAAGAATGAAAAACCTGGTTCTGGATTATTAATTCCCCTTCTGGTTCACTGTGAACTGAAAAGATGACAGGGCCTTCATGCCAAGTTGGTACCTTGGTTAATGGCCCCCAAATGGTCCTCTAATAAAGCAATGCTTAATTTGTTTGTGTGGCAGGTTGGTCTAGCTAGCACCCCACACTCTCCCATGAATGCATTTGCTGCTGGCATTAGAGGCCAGAGTTTGCAAACAGAGAGGACTTTTGTGGCTCTGGGGACAACAAGCTTTCCAAATGAAGCCTATTTTTGGTGAGATTAGTGACACAGAGAATTGGAGCCAGTTCTATTGTAAATGGGGACCCAGCACTGTTGAACTGGACCCCACTCCCTTGCTTTTCAACACAGGAGGAACAGGGATGGATGTAGTGTGCCCTTCTGGTCTCACATCCAGGCCTTTCTCCTACCTGTGTAAAATTTAACCTTGGACTTGGAAGGCCCCATGAAAAAAACCTTTCTTCTTTTCCAGGAAGGCATTATAACCACTCATGCGTGGCCTGTCCCCAGGTAACAGTGTAAGAGGTGATCTGCGAGAAATGGGGATAAGAGACAGGACCAGAGAAGGACAGAGCAATGCAAGGTGTGACCTGCCGATGACCTTGGTTCAAATCTCCAGTCTGCCACTTACCATATTGATGATCTCAGGAATAGCCTCACCTCTATGAGCCTCTGTTTCCTTCCATAAAATAATAATACCTACTTAATGAGTTTGTCCTGGTGCAAAGACCCTGTTTTGTTTTGTTTTTCCTAGCAGAGGAAAAATGTGAAAAGCACTTAGTTTAGTATGGGCTTAAAATGATCAGTATTATCAATATCAATATTATCATAATTATTCTTTGCACAGTCAAAAGGTTTGAACCTTAGGCTGATGGTGATTAATTACTGGGTTTCTTTTTCATGGGAAGTTGATGGGTTTGGAGTGGTTTCTCTGGAGTGTCCACCATAATCACCCTAATTAAAAATTATCCTCTCCATCAGAGACCTTCCAGAGCCTCCCTGGTACCCTGTTACTGGGAATAGAAATCAATGCAGTCTTATCAATTGGTAACATGGCAGTGTCTATAAGATATTTTAAAGGATCATGGAATTTTACTTTGAAGGCATGGTAAAATAGAAATATGGATACATGAATTCATTATAGCCTTGTTTGTGCCCACTCCACAAGGACATCTTGAGTGAAGAGCTGGCCACTAAAGAGTATATGGATTCAGTGAAACACTCTGCAGCCTTTAAATAGGGTAAGGAGAAGCAGCAACATGCGCTGATGGAAAGAGGTCCAAAATATGCTGTTAAACAAAAGCAAGTTGCATGACAATAGGGAAGATAAAAAATCTCTATTTGTATTTAAAGGTCATATGTGTAATTTTGTAGGTGTCAAAAGTTTCTAGAAAAATCCAGAGGTTGACAAATAGCCTTTTAAGAGTGGTTGTCTATATGGAAGGAGAGATTAGAAGAGCATTTCTATTGTTTATTTTAACTGTTTTTGTTAGCTGTTTAAATCTTTGCCTGTAAATATCTATTACTTTCTGATTTTAAAAGTGAAATACTAGGCTGGGGATTTAGCTCAGCAGCAATAAGTGCCTGCCTTGCAAGTGCGAAGTTGTGAGTTTGATCCCTGATACCAAAAAAAAAAAAAAAAAAAAAAGAAAGAAAGAAAGAAAGAGAAAGGTGTTGGGAGTTCCAGGAGGCGTCCAGAAGCCTACAGGGGCTTCCAGGAAAAGCGGTCCTGTGAAGTGACTAGCACTTGCTGTCCTGCAGTTCCTGGAATTCCTTATTTCTCCTTGCTGACTCCTATTTGCACCAGATTGCCATGCTAGAAGTCTGCGTGTCCCAGTCTCCCTTCTCCTTGCTTCATGGTTTAGATCAAACAGTTCCAGGAGCGTGCACTTCACAAAAGTGTTGTGAACAAAATTTGGACCCATCCTATCTGTGCCCAGCATCACACAGGACCAAAGAGCCCTGGACTTGAATAGAATAATGGGGTGGAGCATTGGCTCCTTTACATCCCTATCCACAGTCTAGCAGACATAATCCCACCTGCCTGACTTTTCACATGCTGCAAGAGTAAAGCCCAGGAAAGTCAGGTGTGCTGGAGTGTGGGAGCAAAGCCAGCATACAGGAGCCTGAGGCAGAACTATCAGGCTGAGGCCAGCCCGGGCTACGTAGTGATACCCTCAAAGTGAAAGTGCCTCCTCATTAAGATAACTTATCAAAAGTACCCAACACAATTCTAATTATTTAAGGGTCTATAAGAGGAAGCTAGGAAGATAGGAAAGAGACATGAAACTATAAAGTCTGATTATGGGTGAAGTTAATTACAGTGGACAATGTCACGTATGTGGGAATATCTTAACTTCTGTGACAGGCAAGAAACAACAAAGCTATAGGAAAAAGTGCCCTGGAAGAGAACCAACACCGTTGAGTGGAAATGGTACTTGTAGCACACCTACTGCATGCCACACTCTTTGCTCTCTTGGGGAACAGGCTCATCAGCAGCAGCGCTGCCTGGGTGACACCAGCCAGTCTCCACACAGCAGGATCATGCCGCATGGTTTTGCGATCACATCTGGTCTCCCTGGAAGTGGCTGGACAAGTGGATTCTTGTCCTTCCTAGATCCCAGGGCAGTGTTTTTAGGACCAAAGCATTTCTGTCCAAAACCCAGAATGATTTCATCTTGAGACCTTCAGGACACGACTTGCTCAAAACCAGGCAGTACATCAGGCTTGTCAAAACTCGATTCCTGAGCCCCCTCCCCAGAGTTTCTGGCATGGAATATTTGGCAGGGAGCCCGAGGATTCTAACAGTTGCCTAGGTAATGGTGTTGGTGATAGTGGTGCTGCTGGTCCAGGCTATTTGTCAGGGTTTCCCAGAGAAAGAGAGCCAGAAGTTTGCCTTGCAGCTTCTCAGCACATAGCAGTTTTTAGCTAGTGACGGATTGCAGGTACCGCGTGGTCCCATATGATGATATCACCGGTGATATCCTAGCCACCTTTGTCTCTGCAAATGCACTCTGACATTTGTACAAAGATGACATGGTGCAGCCAAACAGCTATGAGTATACTGGCTTGTGGTTTGGGAAACAGAAACTGGAAGGTCTTGGGAAGCGGGGAAGTTGGCACTGGGGGTGATCACAAAGGCAGTGGGGGATAAGGCATGGTAAAACTGAGCCTATTGAGTGTGTACAATGTCGGGTTTTTTTGCGGGGGCTGGAAACAGCAGATATGATGTGTCCTTATAAAATCTTAAGGAGTTATGACATGTGTAAAACTGCCTTAAACTTTAGAGATTTGGGGGGAAGCTATGTTCTGTTTGAGATAGTGAGCACCGCAGTGACAACTCTGGCACTACCAGGAGTGACCAGTGTTTGGTGCGTTCTCTGTGTGTAGGTGTGTGCACAAGTGTGTGCTTTCTCCTGAAGGAGAGCTTGGGCAATGATCTGTCTTTTTCTTGCTCTTGTAGAGCCCTTCAGGAGCTCTCAAATCCTACAGTTTGGGTTTGAAACCTAGTTCCATCTTGGGTAAATTACTATCCTTCTGTGGCCTTACAAGTTTTCATCTGCGGAATGGGTTTTGCAATAGTGCCTGTCTCAGAGGATGCTTGTGTTGCTCTCTCAGGGTGCTGTAACGAATCCTACAAATGAAATGGCTTACAAACAACAGAAACTTACTTCTCTTGGCTCTGAAGGCTGTTAAGTGCGAGGTTAAAAAGTGCGGGCAGGTTTTGTATCTGGTGAGGGCCTCTTTCTTGCTTCTTATTTCTTGCTATGTCCTCATGCAGGGAAGGGGTGATGGATCAAACTCATGACTTCGAACTTGCAAGGCAGGCCAAATCTCCAGCCCTGAGGCCTCTTTTGTAAAGATTCTAATCCTGTTCCCGAGGGCCTCACTTAGGCTTCACCTTCACCTACTGGGGGCTGGGATTTCAATAAAGGAATTTGACCCAAATATTCAGACCATAGCAGTGGTCATGAAGATTAAATATTTATATCTAAACATTTAGAATCCTACCTAGCACATGGAGTTAAAGGAATCCCAGCTCTTGTGGCTGTGTGAGTTTCAGCCTCTGTCCTCCATCCTCACAGCTGAGAAGCCCCTTTCCTTCTACTTTCCCAATTATTTTCTTCCTAAGTTCCCTTGTATTTATCCAAGGATCTAATCTTGTGTAAACAATCTGAGGTCTCATGTTTCCTTTTGCCTGCTGTATGATGGGTCCTTAAATATTTAGCATCTGATGTGGAGGAAGCAGCCTTGGTATGGGGAAGTGGCATCAATCCTTCCTTTCGTTTCTCCCTCACCTTCTTCCCTCTTCCTCCTTCCTAACCATTCATAGCACTTGATAGCACATTTCCAATTGTCTGGGTCTTGGGGTTATTTAAATAGGCTGAGTCACATCTTATAGGAAACAAAGCTTTAATCCTGTAAGGTTGGAGCTGGGTCTTCCACTCTGACAGCCCCACAGAGCCTTGCCGATGCCTGCACCTGGCTTTTCCTGGGTGCTCTGCAAACGTGTTGTCCTGAATGCCAGCTGGTTGGTGACAGATCTTGCAAGCTCTCACCTCTCACCTTCTCTGCTCCCCAGGGACAGGAGCTGACCATCCGCCAGATCTCCCTGCTGGGTTTTCGTGACTTGGTCCTGCTAAAGGTGAAGCTGGGTGACTTGCTGCTGGTGTCACAGTCCAAGCTGCCTTCGTCCATCATCCAGATGCTGCTTATCCTGCAGGTGAGATCCAGGGCCCAGGGAGGGATGCAGAAGGAGGGGACAGCCGTGGTGGGATGAGGGGGAAGGGACCAACCGCCAGAGCACCTTATTTTGGTTGAGTGTTTGTTAGTTTGTTGGTCCACATTTTTTGGTTGCTTTGCTTATTTCCTGTCCATTCACTGAGTAGCTTTTAGGTCCCTGGGGTTAGGACTGCAGTGAGGAGAGACGGAAGCTGGTTCTCCATCCAAGAAGTGGCAGCTCTTCTCCCCTCTCCACTTATATCAGAAAGAGTCATGCGTTGCAAGTAACAGCAAAGATCCCGGAGCTTATCAGAAGGCATCCAGTGCAGAAGGGCTTTAGGATGGAACAAGACCGTGCAGAGTCTCAGAGCCATTGATGCTTCTGCACTGCCTGTACTTGTACCTGTTCTACATTGTTTCTCTCTGATGCAGCCTCTTCTGTGGCTCAGTCTCTCTTCGACTTGGTCTTTTTTTGATCTGGACATTTGTATCCCGTGCTTTGGTTTGCAGCTGGTCAAGCAAATCATAATGCTACAGCTTGTGTGTTTCCAGAAAGACCACCCTGTTAACGGTGTGTCTCTTACTTCCAATTCTAAATCAATAATAGGAAGATGAGCTGACACTTGCTGGGCTCTGGCTGTTTTTCAGGCACATACCAAGGATTTAAAGTGTGGTGTTTTCTTACATAACCAAAAAACTAGTTTATGAGATTGGCATTGTTTTTATTACCATATTATAGATGAAGTAAATCCTAGGACATTTACGCACCTGTCTAAAATCTCTTATTGATTAAGAAGTGTTTAAAAAAAAAGTGGCAAGATTCAGAGATGTGTATACCTTGCATCCTCCTTAAGGGAAAGAATCTGATTGGTTCATCTTGGACTAGGTGCTTTCCCTTTGCCCAATCAGCTGTGACTTTAAGTGGAAACAAGTAGCACAAACATGGCCTCACCTGGCCCATTCTTATGGGTTTCCAAGACCAAGGCTTCTTTTTCAGGCTCCATTTCTGATCTGGCTAATGGTGACCTTCAGGGCAGGAATAGAGTGTCAGGCATGGGGCCCAAGTGTCCCTCATCACCTAACTGATGTCTTCTTTTGATTCTCTAGGCTACCATTCAGGTCACTTGTCCTCTTTCTGTAATTCCAGAGGAAAACAGCTGCTTAACGAGAAGAGGGTGGGTGTTACTAGCCAGAATGGGATGGTAGTTCAACCATCTTTACGCCACTGAAAGCAAAAGATAGGAAGTAAGAAAGTTTGTGCAGGCTGCATCAGAGAAGTCTAAATCAGAGCTTAACTGTCAAATAAAGAGAGGAGAAAATGAGCCCTGAGGATCCTAAGACTGGGGAAGTGGACTCCCACCCTCCCATTCTACTTATGGTATTCAGGTATGAGAGGAGCATCCCTGCAGGTGAGGGCTGTCATCTGTGAATGCTGGGGTGGGAGGATCTGTTCCCACAAGGAAAACACCTAGCACATTCTTGGGTTCTGGGTCCCACACTGAACAGCCTGACAACCATGTGAGGAAATTGTCACTGTCTGCCGAAAGCCCTGAATGACAGGTTCTACTGCTTGCTAGGGAAATCTTTTTCCCTCTGTCCTGGCCCCTACTGCATTTGCTCTCCTAGGACAACTTCAAACTCTCCAGTAGTTCTTGGCTGACTTTAGTTAGGGACACAGCCCACAACTGTCCCCCAGCTTTGGTCTTCACCGTGTCTCTAGCCTTATCTGGAACTAGCTTTCTTGGTGCCAGCCTTGCTTGCCCTGTCACAGCAGACCTTAGTGTGTGCTGTGCCCTCTGCTCAGAACAGTGCATTAGCTCCCCTCAAGGCAGATCCTCGTGGTTCCTTGTCACACTGTACCTAGGCACCCAGCTCCATCTTTGGCACACAGTAGGTCCTCATGAAACACTGTTCAGTGAGCGATGGCACCGGCTGACCCCAGGTCCTGGGCTTCCAGTCCCATGTTGGTTGATGAGCACACGGAGCTTCCTGTTTTGGAAGACAGAGGGGAAGTCAGAGAAGCTCCATGGTCATAGCAGATTTGACTGAACTATTGCTTTTCCCATATCAAGCAGAGATGGAGGTTCCGAGAAATTTACTCACTAGTTCAGGATCATAGTGCGTTTGTCCAGAGTTGAATTGGTCAGCCATCCTTGAGAAGGCCTTTTTTCCCCCTAGTACTGAAAATTGAACCTAGGGCTTTCTCACTGAGCTACATTCCCAGTCCTTTTTTCATTTTGAGAAAGAATCTCATTAAGTTCCTAAATTGATCATGCTGGGGTCAAAAGTGTGATCCTCCTGCCTCAGCCTCTCAGTACTGGAATTACAGATGTGCTCAAGTGGGGAACTGGTGTCATTTCTCCCCAGGCTTCCCAGGAATAGTCCCTGGACTGTGTTCTTCCACACTTGGGAGCTGTGGAGCTCTAGGCACATGACAGCTACAGATGCAGGTCCACGTTCTTGAAGACAAGGAGGGCAGCCTCTGGGTCAAGATGATCCTCCAGGTGGCACTGGCCTGGGGCCATTCCTGCTGCAGGAAGTCTGGGCCCCTGTATGTAGGACTGTCCATCTCCTCCCCAGGCCCTTCTTTGTCACTGTGTCAGGATATGTGAGGCTGCTCTTCTCTAAGTGACCTAGACCTGGTGAAGAGAAAAGAGTCATCCTCGGCCTTCAGCTCTCCTTTTCCATCACACTTCCAAAATCTTTCTGAACCAACTCCTTCCTCCCAAAATACCCAAGGGGCTTCTCCCGAGTGTGTCGGTCTTCAAGCTGTTTGGGGAATCAAGAGTCATGAGATCTCTGGCCAACCAGGCAGAGCATGTGACTGTGCCTGCTTTTATGGTTTCCCATCACCAAATCAATGTTCTTTCTGATATTGAACTCAGGGGCCCTGCATCATGGTTTACACTGAGCCAGGAAAATTTCCTAGCGAGTCTGGTGTCCAGGCCGAGGGCCCTGCACAGTGCAGCAGCCCTGCCTGGAGGAGAAGCATCCGTGCAAATCGTGCTCATCATACATTTTCCTTTCACCTTTGGGTGTTTCTCATTATTCTGTCACCTCTCCCTGCACTTATGAATTATGGTGGGGGAAATCTTAGCGGAGAACCCACAGCAAAATTATCAAGGACAGAAAAAAACCAAAGCAGTTTCCTGGGCTTTGAGAGCCAATCAAGGTAGCTTGTGGTTGAAACTGTCCTGTTTCTGAGGCCAGGTGTGGGTCCCCTTTTCCTTCTGCCCAGAGGACTCACTTCCTGTGTGTGTGTCCTGAGCAGGAGCAGCTCATCTGCTTTCCCCTTGTTCTTACTCTGCTAACGTCTGATGCTTGAGCTCTGAGTGAATGAAGAAGAGCCAGGATGGCTTGGAGAACTGCCTGCCTTGTGCCATAGCTGCCGCCAGGTGCTGAGCAGTGCGATGTGACAGGCTTTTCACTGACTCCCTGTCCCACCCATTTTCTCTGCATCTCTTTTCCTCCTGGCCCTTCCCAGTTCCAGCCTCCAACTCCTCTGCCCACCTCACTGTCTCTCCCTTAGCCTCCCTGTTTGGTTAAGCCACGGGAGCCCTCCTGCCCTGTCCCTATCCATTTCCAAGAGATGCAGCCAAGAAGGGAGAGGGGCCTGGGTCTCTGGATGCTCCATCTCCCAGAGCTCCTGACCTGCAGCAGTCACCTCTTCTGAGTCATTGCTTGACCATGTCATCTGCTTTCTCCTCTAGCCCTGAGACACTTCAGTGTGGCGGAGCCTTTTTACTTAAGTGAAAGCATTGCAAAGTCTGTTTTGAGGATTTGACAGGTTGAGCTGAGCACAGCCCCATCCAGCATCGTTGCTCCCCAGCTCAGGTCCTGGTCCCTGGGATGCACTGATCACCGGCTTCTTTTTGATTTCTGAGGCTGAAGGCCTGTGCTATGGGGCTGCATTTTGAGGACTCCTGTCAGGCTGGGCTTCTAAACTGACTCCTTGTCTTGCTACCAGTGGGTCTATTTCTGGAACCCTTTCCCTCTCTTCAACTGTTTTGAACTCTTCCGTATTCTTTCCCTCTTTTCTAGTCTGTTAAGAAGTCGTAGGAAGATGGGCTGGGAGCCAGGTAGCTTAGTTTTCAGCCCAGAGCTTTTGTCCTTTACTGGCTGTGTTTCGCTGGACAAGTTATTTTAGCTTTCTGTGTCTTTATTTCCCAGAAGGGGGAGAACGAAAGCTCCCCTCTGCCTGGTCATTGGGCGGCCTCTGAGCGTGAATTCATGGGAAGTGGGGTGGGATTAGCTTTGGGTCACATCCGCCCCAGAGCAGTAGCTGAGACTGTCCCCTGCAAGTGGCCTTGGTAGAGCCCAATGGGAAAGGCCACTGTGTAGGCCCCGTGCAGTGTTCCTGTGGTGCATGACAAGTTGGGGCTCCATTTGCCTTGTTCTAACCTCGGGGAAGCTGCCTGTCCTGTCCAGAGGAAGGTGTCGGGATGCACTGACAGGCACCTGCTGGCCACAGTAGTTTTTGCTGACCTCTGTCTGTCTGGATGTTTACTTCCAGAGTGTACACGAGCCCACGGGCCCAAGTGAGGGCTATCTGCAGCTGGAGGAGCTGGTGAAGCAGGTGGTTTCTCCTTTCCTGGGCATCGGCAGGGACCATGGCTTCTCAGGATCCACATACACACTGGGTAAGGGGCACTGCCCTCGAGTTATCAGGAGCCTCAGGATAAAGCTACCAGAGCCAGCATGCTGAGCACCCATGGTGCACTGAGTGCTTGGCTTCCGATGTGGGTTTGAGCGAATCCGTGCGTGTTAATCACTCCTGCTCCATTCCCTGCTGTATCGCAGCAACTTCCCCCACTCATGCTCTGTGGTTCCTCCCCAGGGACTCCCACCACCCTCTGTGGTGACGCCTGTCTGATCCATATCTTTAACCAGTGGTTTTGATCTTTCCTGTGCCCGATACATTAATTTTTCTGTATCTGATACCAGAAACTATGCTGTATTCCAAACCTCCCCCAGCCTTTAACTCTGGAAAATCACCCTTGATAGATTTCCTTTAGAAAGCAGCTCTAGCTGTGAGGCCAGTTGGTCTCATGATTAGCCAGGTGTTCTCGAAATGCTGTCCCCCACACCCTCTACTTCCAGCACCTCCATTAGAGGAAAAAGTTCCTGCATTTGGGGACAGATCCTGTTGGGGCATTTTTGGCAATGTGAAGCTACATCAGCATCAAGCTCGGCCCTAGTCCTTTGGCGAATCTAGAGATGAATCAGAGTTGTTTCTTCTCTCAGTAAGACCACAGAATAGACGGTCCAACTAGAAATAGCTAGGCAATATAGTATAATACAATACAAAATTGCTTTCTGTGAAATCACAGCCTTAGAAACACTGTGTGATATGGCTTATAATAAAGGTATTCTTCAGTGACCATCTAAATGTAAGTCTGTAAAAATGCAGGGGCTTCTTTTCCAGTGCCCTGCCTTTAGCAACTGAAATAGGGCCTGGCATAGCACCATTGGAAGCCACTTGGAAAATATTAGGTGGATGGCAGGCAGCTAGCTGTACCCCAAGGCTGCGGCAGCCAGCACTCAGAGGCCTACAGAACAGGAAACAGATTCCTTAACACACACAGTACCCCTCCTCTCACTAGAATGGACTTGTGGCTGAGCTTCAAAGCCAGGGAGAGAGGCTCCTGCCCTTCCTGGGCCTCTTGACTACAGACAAAGGCAGGGCCTCTTACTGGCAGTGTTCCTGGCCCTGGTCATGTTTCTCTGGAGACACCAGCTTAACCACAGCTGCCACAGATTGGAGGGTGCCGGTCCCAGCCCGCTGCCTGCCAAGTTCCCACCCTCACTCAGTCCACTCACGCACTCCACCCAGGTGCTAGAAGGAGCCAGGGTTAGAGACAATCCTGAAGGAAACAGTGTCCTGCCCTCCCTGGCCCTGCAGTGGGTGCCATGTTGCCGCAGTCTCTCTGGAGCCCTCCTTCTGACTGCTGCCTCAGCTCACTGAGTTTGGGGGACACTGGGAACCCAGGAAGATGTCAGGATAGGTCAGCTGGGCCCTGGCAGGGACTCCACCTGGGCCTCTGACAGTGTAGGAAAGGAAAAATAATTTTTCTTCAACTCTTCATAAATTCTTAGTTGCAATAGGCCCTGAAGCACATTAACAAGAGAAAGACAAATAGGAGCGTCTGGATACATATATTCACTTCACATAGGCTTGGGAGATACGCAGAGAACAAGGAATTGAGTTCAATAGGTGGTTTTGAATTCCAGCTTATAAAGCACCTTCAACAAAGACCTGTATACTTTTAGAGAGGTGAGAAAACAAAAGAAAATGACTTTGAGCTCTAGTTAGTGGCAGCAATTTGTGAGAAGGCAAATAACGGACAGAGAAATACAGTAAAGTCTGTTGGTGTAGGCCCCGGAACCATCTCCAGTTGAGAAGGGGTGAAGTTATTCACAGTGGTTAACCTTTGTTCTACTCTACTTCCGGAGCGATCTCCGTCCTGCGTTAAAGCAGATGTTGCAGTGGGAGCACTTCTTTCCTGCTTCTTCTTAATTGCTGTCAGCTGAACAGTCCTTCCTATTTCCTGATGTCCTGTTTCAGCATCGCACACAAGGGGCAGGAGTAGATTTGGAAATTTATTCCTTGAGGACTCACTCTAAGAGGGGACACTTCTGGCTTTCCAAGTAAAATAAGGATGATTATACATTTTGTGAAATTAAGAGGCAAAGGCCTGAGCTTTTATTCTTACACGAAGGCCTTTGGGAGGTTGTCTCAGGAGGGACAGAGAGAGAAGGACACTACCTTCTCTTGTGTAGTGTTCATTTTATTATTATTTTGGCAAATGCATGTTGAGACCCTACCCTGGGGCCTGGGTAGATGCTGCAGCGATACCAACTAAAGGCATCCCTGCGCTCCAGGGCACAGGGTCAGTAAGGAACTGCAAATAAAACAGTGACTCATCGATGTACAAACATTCTGGGGGAAGTAACAGGGGCCAGGGAGACCACACTGGGACTTTGCCTGGACCAGGAAACAGAACAAGTCCACTGGATGAGGTATTGTCTGTGATGGGTCCCTGATGATGAAGAGGCATTAGCTGAGGAAAGAGGAGAAGGGACTTCCGGAGGATTTAGCACATAGTGGGTAAACAAGATGGTGAAGCGTTTGTGGAGCCAATAGAGCTTTAGACTTGCAGAGTGGTTGGGGCAAGAGAATCCTGGGTACCATGCTGAGTGGGCCGGACAGTCTCACAACCAAGGCACTGCATTATAAGAGAGGCCGGGGCGGGGGTAAAGGTTGCTTGGCTGCTGGAGTCAGGTTTTCCGACTGTTTAGGCTCCATCAGCTGCCCCACGCACTCCACGATCACCCTACTCCATTGGCACTTAGAATGTGACTTCATTAAAGGATTGGATGAGGAAAAGTCCTTCCCATCTCATCCCTTAGTTCCAAAGGAATCCTTGACCAGGTCTGGTTCCAAACCTCTGGAACCAGAAGAAGGGAAGTGGCCTTCCTGACTGCACACCCCTTCCCAGAGCGGGTAGCAAGGCCTCTCTCAGCTCAGTCTGCCCCTCCACACAATGGGGATACTAACATTTATCCCACCTCAGGCAGAGGATTCCTAGGACTCTGGCTGCCATAAAAACTAGGGAATCATATTGGGCACAAGAATTTCCTTTACCTGAAGGAAGGCTTCGCTGCAGCATCCTTGGGACTGAAGTAGGGGCTGGCTATGTCAAGGGCAGCTGGGTCACCTTTTCGGAGGCCACTCCTATACTGCCCAGCACCCTGCATGAGCTGGCCAAGCTCACTGTGCATACTCATTTCTCCTTCACAAAGCCTGCTGATGCCTCCGCCTCAGGGGTCCAGTATGGTGGGCAGAGGGGTGTGACCCCGGGAGGGTCTCTCTCTGCAAGGCCTCCCACCCTGGACAGGTACAGCTTGCTTCAGAGGGAACAGAGGTGTGGGCCTAAGCCCAGGATGGAGAATGGGGTGTGGGCATGTCCTTTCCTCCAAAGATGTACTTTTCTATAGCAGCTGGAGTGTAGAGTCGAGGAGGAGAACAGTGAGATTTAAAAAAAAAACAAAAATCAGATCCGTCAGAGGCCAGGCCCATGTCCTCCTGTTACAGGGATGATATAGAAACCTCCAAATATAATATAAGAGAAATATTATATCTTTCAACTTGTTAGATGTCTGACATGCCATTTGTGTTCTCTAAAAATCAAAGAATACATTCTAGGAACAATAGACATTAAGAATGGGAAATATTGAGAGACAGAAAGCTTCCAAAGGACAAGCTGGGGGACCCAACTCTATAGGAAAAAAAAATTTTTTTTTGTCTTTTTCCTTTTTATCAGTACCAGGGATCGAACTCATGACTGCCTGCTTGCAAGGCAGGTGCTTATGCCGCTGAGCTAAATCCCCAGCCCTGGAAAATTTTACGGAGCAAAATTCACATGATCACCGTATGGGTTACAGCTATGATCAACCAATAAGATTAGAAGTATGCTGCTTAGATAACGATGATCCAAAAGGGAAGCAGGTCATGTGCTGACTGGGCATGGGACGATCAAAGAACTCAGGTAGTTGAGGGATCTGGGATCTTAGTTGACTACTGGAGTGGTTGGTGCCTATCTAGACCAGTTGCTATCACTTATCTCGCCCCTTGTGGCTTATGTAGTAGACCTGGCCCTTTTCTTATCTTGAGGCCTGGCCTCTAACTGATATGTCTCTGGCCACAGCTATAGTGGCTTTTCACCTTCTGTCTTGACTCCGTTGAGGACCCAGCCATGTCTGACTGCCTAGAGAGTATTTGTACCTAACTCAGCTGTTTAAAATCCTGCCTTTCAAGTTTCCCACGTGTGAGAGTGGCTATCCCAGCCCTACTGAAGGTCTCCCACACAACAGCCCTGGAATCCCACATCCCTCCTTCCATTGTAGCTGGGGGCCTGCTCTCCAGTGCTTTGCAGCAGGACACTGTGACTTTCCTGGGTGACAAGGAGGCAGGCTGTGGCTTTCAGGTGCAGGCCAGAGAGGGAACCTCAATGGGCTTTGTGTGCAGGGGTCACAATGGCTCTGGGAGATCAAAGGCCTGGGTGTCTGCACCCCAACAAAGGGCCTGAGGAAGGAGGGATGCTAGCTTTGCTTCCTTTGGGAGTTTGAAAGGAGCTGCCATTGTTGGCTCCTAGCAGGGGGATAAAGGCCAGAGCTCATCAGGATGCCTGGAATAAAGGCTCCCAGGGGCTGGGGCACAGCCCGGGCCAGCCCCTTTGAAAATCAGGAAGCTCAGGAAGTGGCCTGAATGAAGGCATCAGCCAGGGGAGAGGACTGAGCCCCCTCTCCCTGCTGGAAGAGCAGCTGGGGCACCTAGTGACTTAGCAAAGTCTGCATGGGGCTCAGTCTCCTGGTGGGAGATTTATTTCCTTAGAGGGGGACAGGGACCTGCCTCTCTGGGTGCAGAGGAGAAAGAGAGGCAGACAGAGGAGGAGGCAAGTGTGGGTAGTGAGTCCTGTGAGCCATGGGACCCAACAAGAGTTGACCCTACCGGGTGCTGCTGACACACTTGTCCCAGGGTTGGCTCTGAGGTCCTGCAGGAAGCACCGTCTGCCAGCAAACTTGACACAGCCACACTGCCACTGTGGTCTTGGCTCTGCTCACACCCAGTCTTGGAAAT